CATGCATTAATTGGTATTAACATTTCTATCAATGTTTCACTGTTCTAGAAATGTCTCAACATTTCTACTGCTTCAGGGCACACATCTACTGTACCTGGCTCTGACATTCTTTCCAACTCTTCTCCATGACTTTTGGCTTTAGATGTGTGCAAGGGAAATCACTGACAATGTGTGATGCAGGTGTCACCTTTGGATTGGGGCCCTCCACAGAGGAATATTCTCCACACTCTGATCGTTTTGCATCTGTGTAGCCTTCGTCATCTACCCCACAATTAATACATTGTGGTGAAGGTTGAGAGGTGCCTGACTGTGGGTATAAAGATGAGAACTTGGGTTCATTTAGCTACTGTCCACTCATTAGAATGACAGCATCAAATCCTCCCTAGGATTTATCACCTAGTCAGGCACAAGTTTATCACAAATTAACATCACATGAGTTACAGTTTGTAAAAGGAACTTCAAATGCAGTCAGAAAATGATTGGTTACCCCAGAGCTTTAACACCATTGTTGCTCTACAGGCACTGCGGTTTTTCTCTGAGGCACAGCAGCTGCACCTGAAACTATCACTGCCTCAGCTGATGACGGCACCTCTGCCGCCACAGCTGCTGCCTTGCTGCAGAGGCCTTATAATTGCAGGAGCAATCATGCTGTTTTAACTCTGTCTCTGTCCTTTTATATAAGCAACAAGGATTCCAGAGTCAAACGTGGGATGAAAAACTGCTAGCTCAGCTATATTTTTATTTTACACTAAGGGGAGATGGATGATTCCACTGGGAAAAACAATAGTAAATATTCAGATCTCAGATTCTGGGCAACTAAGGGACAAAGCTATGACATGGTAAAGATTTAATGGAGTATTTATAATTACCGAAGATAGAGATTATTAATAAAGGCAAGTTTCAAACACATTGCTTGAATAAACTGTTGGGAGTTACAGCAAAGAGAAGTCTCTATTCTTCTCTGATGACATTCTGATATGATTAACTCAGTATTATCCATATGTATTTATAATTGTTGGATAATACCTGATTTGTTGACAAAGACTTTCCAAACAAACACTTCGCACACTCACGAAGTTTGCAGTCAGAATGAAACATCTGATGTGTTTTAAGGTTTGAAGAAGTAAACTTTTTAAGACATTTGTTTGACTTCTCCCCTGTATTAACTATATCATGTGTTGAATAAGGATACTGAGATTAATAAAGGCTTTGCTACATTCCCCATAATTTTAGGGATCCTCTTCAGAATGAAGGTTTTTTTTATGTCGGATAAAGGATGAAGGCGAAGAAAAGCATCTGCCACAGTATTCACACTTGTAGGGTTTCTCTCCAGTATGAACTCTCTTGTGTATCCTAAGGGATGAGTTAAGATGAAAGGTTTTGTCACACTCTTCACACTTGTACGGTTTCTCTCCAGAATGAATTCTCATGTGTCTCCTAAGGGATGAGCTACAATGAAAGGCCTTGTGACATTCTTCACAATTGTACGGTTTCTCTCCAGTATGAATTCTTTGGTGAACCTGAAGATCCCTAGAATTTAAAAACCTTTTGCTGCAGTGTACACAGGTATGACAATTGTCTTCAGAATGGATTCTCTGATGGCGTCTAAGGATTATAGATGAGCAAAAGCACCTGTCACACTCTGTACACTTGTAGGGTATCTTTCCATTATGAACTTTCTTGTGTCTCCTAAGGGACGAGTTACAACGAAAGGCTTTGCCACACTCCTCACACTTGTAGGGTTTCTCTTCCATATGAACTCTCCTGTGTGTCTTAAGAGATGAGTGATAATGAAAGGCTTTGTCACACTCCTCACACTTGTAGGGTTTCTCTCCAGTGTGAACTCTTTGATGATCCTGAAGATCCCTAGAATAGGAAAACGATTTGCCGCAGTGTACACAGGTATAAGAACTGTCTGCTGAATGGGTTGATTGATGTCGCCTAAAGGATAAAGAAGAGCTAAAGCTTCTGCCACAGTCTTCACAATCGTAGATCTTGTCTTCAGAATGTATTGTTTGATGTCGCCGAAGGGATGAGGGCAAGTAAAAACATTTGCCACACACTTCACACTTGTAAGATTTCTGTCCAGTATGAAATAACTGATGTTCCTGAAGGTATGTAAAAGAGGAAAAAGTTTTGCCACACTCAACACACTTATAGGGATGCTCTTCTGAATGTAGAGCTTGATGTCGCCGGAGGGATGAAGTGAAGCAAAAACACTTGCTGCACTTCTCACACTTGTATGGTTTCTCTCCAGAATGTTTTCTTTGATGTTGTCTAAGGTATGAAAAAGAGAAAAAACATCTGCCGCATTCTTCGCATTTGTAGGGTTTCTCTCTAGAATGAATTCTCTGATGTTGCTTCAGCATTGAAAGATAGTAAAACGATCTGCCGCAGTCTCCACACTTGTAGGTTTTCTCATCAGTATGATCTTTCTGGTGTATGAAAAGTGCTCCAGCAGTATTGAAGGCCTTGTGACATTCTTTACACTCGTAGGGTTTTTCTCCAGTGTGAAGTCTCTGGTGTGTGGAAAGCGCTTTATAAGAACTAAGGGCCTTACCACATTCTTCACACTTGTAGGTTTTAATCCTTTTATGAATTCTCTGGCATTGACTCTGTAGTGAGTTATGATCACTGTCCTCGGATAAAATGCTATCATCTTCGGGTGTTGTTCCTGTTGAGCAAAAGTTGAGATATGAACAAAAGTTAGAAAATATTCTTCATACTTACAATGCCTATCACTTAAAAAGAATACATTTGTTAACACATAATGAAGCAGTGAAAAGTTAGAGTCATTTCACAACTTACAGGCACTAAGAATAAATGATAAAATATTGTAGAAATGATCTTTACCTTTAGTAGAATATGGAACATCCAAACAGAACATAGACATAATGGCATATAATTCAAAGTTAAATAGCTAAGTAAGTTGCAAGCGCATTTTACTAAGAGAAATTAAGCCATTAAAAGAATAGAGATTGTATATTGCAGGATACCCATGAAACTACAATGTAGCTGAGTCCAGGAAAGAAACTCATTTTGACTTTGTGAATTTGAGACAGAGTCTAATTCAAACATTTTATCCTGCACATATAGTTGTACTTTGGGGGTACAAAAGATATGCTGCACATGTAGACAGTCTACACAAAGACAAAATTCATAGTTCAAATTCAGACATTATTTTACATTTTATTTGAAAGACCAGAAAATATACACCTGAAACATATTGAGTCATGGTAAAACAAAACAAAACAAAACAAAAAACCTTCAGAGTCACCTGTGCGTAATGTAAATTTGGTTGAGACAATATACTTGTCAATAAAGAGACGACAAAATTACTTCTTTCCCCTTTTGCTTGTTTTTGTTTTAGAAGATAAGGTTTTTCTATGAAGATCTTGCTCTCCTATAACTCACTATCTAGACCAGGCTGGCCTTAAACACTATATTAGAGGAAGAAAAACATTTCTACCTTCCATTATCCAGCCCTCTGCTGTTTCTCTGTATTCCATGTCTCCCAATATGATAGTTTAGCGTACCAAGGGGACCCTTATACCTATGCCCAAATTTCATGGTGGTTCAAATGCCCTGTACCCTGGCTTTGAATATCCTCCTCTCAACAAAGGTAATCCCACAGGTGGGATGTCAAGGGCAGATTATGTAAGCAGTCTTCAGCAAAGTGGTAGATGTGACCGAGGCTCTGCCAGAGGGAAAGTCAGCACAACAGGATGAATTAAATCAAACTAAATCACATGTGCCAAGTGAGGAGCCACCACATCAGGTGACAAAAGCAACACAGCCCGAGGAGGAGGTGAGGGGGATTGTGAAAGCTCACCCAGGGCAGCCGTCGAGTTACCTGCAGAGACATCTGGACCAGCTCCTCTGCTATGGATCATCTTTTTGTACAATATGATTATTTATTACTCTCATCATTAAAACACTGATGGGTCAATGGCTAGACAGAATTTTGGGAAGAAAGATTGCAAGGAAGAAGAATGGCAGAGTAAAAGAAGGTGCCAGAAGATGCAGAGAAAAAAGGTGAACATATTGTATTGAAAGAAGGAACTGCAATGTGATAGAGGGTAAATAAAAATGTGGGCACGTTTAAAAAGTAAGAGCCACCTAAAAATAAGCCCAAGCTATCGGCTGAGCATTTACAACTAATAAGTATCTCCATTTCAGTTATTTTGGTAAGGCTGTTGGGACAGAAACTTCTGCCTACAAATGGCATTCCAACCCGACACACCCTTGGCTACTAAGGCATGAGGAAGCTCAAAAAAACTTCCCACTACACAAAAGCAGAGCCAAATGCATCTTGCTAGTCTTCTGTCTCTCATGTGGGCTGCAGTACAAGCAAGCAATTCCTGACAGCTGCCTTCGGATTTGAGCCACCAGCTTGAGCTCCACCCATGCAGTGGGTGGCAGAGTTTGGGGTTTTGCTCATGTGGACAGAAAAGGTTACAGATGTTCAGGAAAGACAGATCCAGATGGTAAAAAAAAAAAAAAATCTTTAAATGGGTTACAGTGTTTAAAAATGTACAAAGTCTTGTGGGAGAAGAGATGGTCACAATATACACACACAAATATATATATATATATATATATATATATATATATACATACATATAATTACATACTTTTAAAATAAAGCAAAAATTCTTTAAAAGCGAATAAAGTAATATGAAAGATAAGACACACAAAAAGTAAAATACATAGAGTGTCCGGAATCCATGTGTTACTGTGTTGTCTGTAGATTTTCTGACTGCTAAAGAAGGAATGAGAGCTGCTGAGACTGCCTGGATTGAGAAAATTGCTGGATTAAAGCAACAGACATAGTTTTTAACATGTATTGACCTTAAAAGGAAAAAAGAAGGGAGAGAGGTTATGATTTCGTTTCCAACAAGAGAGGCTATTTTTGTTACATATAATTTTACTATGTTAAAGATAAAACCATCCTTTTCAAGTAGACAAAAAGTGGGAAATGCTGTAGAATAATCTTTCTCTACATTGTGAAGATGTGTTGCTTTTATTGTTAATAAAAAACTGGTATGTCTATGGTTAAACAGGATTTTTGAAGCTGATAAAATCCTGGCTTTAGAAAAACAGAGTCAGAGCAGTGACCAGGATTCTGAGAAGCAAGAGAAAAACATACAATATGAAGAAAAGGTAGTGCCATGTGTAAGAGTGCAGAAGACATAGGGGTTAATGAAAATGTAAGACCTAATTTGTAATAAACCTGAGCTGTTGTTCGAGCATTTATCATTAATATAAAGTCACTGTATGGTTATTTGGTATAGGATGCCAGCACAGAGCTGATCCATCGAGTTCCTGATGAAAAACACTGCCTAAACGCACAGTACTGATCCCATTAAAAACCTAGACTAATGAAAATATACACTGAGAATCAACAGGAGACCTTGAGAAGAAGTGATCACAAGATATTTTCGCCCATTTGAACTCAGGGAAACATTAGCCATAATGCTGCCTATACTTCCAGCCACAGTGGCTACCATGAATATATCTGACACAAAATGTTTTACCAGTACTGATGTACCTGAAAACAACAGATTGACACACATAAGTTTATAGTTTCTTTACCAAGTTGTTACTGCTTATATATCCAAATACCAGTCCATGTACATGATAAATTAACTTGGAAAAAAAAAAAGCCCTAAAAAACCCATGGAGCCTTACAATTCACTAAAAGGCTTAAATCTACTAACAGTCACGAGAGAGAGCACACAAACACTGAACCCATAACTGGTTTGATGGGCTTCCTGAATCAAAAGCGGAAGGCCTTGCTGCTGTCCTGTCATAATCTTCCTATGTCTAATTGTCATGACCTGCTGAAGAAATTGGGGGTAAAAGTATTGAAAAACCCAAACCGCCTCTGTTAAATTAGCATACCTAGAGGCCCACACATCCCCTTTATATGATATGCTAATGCTTTGATTCTTCCCTAAGAGCAGTGGGGAATGTATGCCCAAAATGAATCTGGTTCGACTGAGTTTTATCCAATGTTTCCACCCCCCCAATTGTTCTGACCAACAGAACTGACACTGTTGAGCCTTCTGTCCCTGCTTGCCTCTCTGTGATGGATTGTGGGTTTCCCTTTATTAACCCATTATGGTCACTTTACTGTAGAGATCTTTCTTGCTTGAGTTTGCTCTCAACCTCTGTAAATAAAAGACTCTTGGTCTTTACCATTCTGACTTCTATTTTTCTGAGTCTTAAACAACAATGGAGATTCAACAAAAGGAAAAACCTTGGAGGTCACTGTAAGTAGAAGCATAGCTTGTAATTGGGGAAATCCAAAGCTTAAGAGACTTAAACCATCATAAAACTGAGACAGCAGCTTTGACAACAAAGACAAAGAGAGACCTAAAGAATGATTCCCATGGTATCATGTTTCAAGGCACATGGGAAAGCCTCACTTTCCGTTGGATCTCAGGATCTCAACTCTGCCCCTGAACCTCTCATTCCTACACACCTGGGTGCACGGTGGCTGCTGCTTGTCTCTCCCCATCTGAAGGCTCTGGTCTTTGCTCCAGAAATGTCACCAGGTGTGGCTTAGGGACAGCAAGACCTGTGTATAGATAAAGAGAAGAAGTTGTTTATGTGTTCTTTTACTCAGAATGGACATGTCCCTGTCTGTACATGACTTGTAAGGACAGAGATGAGGTGACAAATGATTGCAGACAATCAGTTCCTTAAGTGTTTTCAGACAGGATCACTGCAACACATGGAGGAGCCAACAGCACCCAGGGTCTGAGTTTTGTTTCAGGGAAAAAAACAGTAACTTAGAATTGTAACACAGTTCACATAAAAAGTGAGCTCCACCTCTCACACCACTGAATTTCTAAAAGTCCCACTAGAGTCAGGGAAAGACACACCAATCACGGAAAGGTTAAACACAGAAAGACGCAAACAGTGTAAGCAATCTTCCTGTTTTCATTTTTTATTTTAAATTTCATATGTTTTGGGGTTTTCTATTGATATATTACTGTGTGATGTTGATTTGATAATCTAATTAATCTTTATCAATAAAAAATCAGGAGTCAGATATCGGCTAAGAAACTGAAAGATCATAGAAGTACCAGTGACATCCTACCTCTTCCATCCTACCATCCAAAGGGCAGAGATCCTGTCTCAGCCCCGCCTTTCCACGTCCTGTTCCCCTCTCTACAGTCCTCCATGTCTCTATGGTCAGCTGGTGGCTAGTTCTACCCTCTGACTCCAATCAAGCTTTATTTGTCAGGATACAACACAATTAAAACATCACATAGCAGGAGGTTGTCAGACCTTGGGTTTACAAACAATGGTGAGCTGCCATAGGAGTGCCGGTGATGTGGGATTTCCTGCCTGGGCTAACAGGCCAAACAGTGCTGTAATTAACATAGTTTCTTTCTGATTATTCACATCTGGGCGGCAGGAAGGAAAGTGTAGTAGTTTCCTTTTACTTAACTATCCTCGATCCTCTAGAAGAGCAGTCAGTGCTCTTAACAACTGAGCCATCGCTCCAGCCCTGAAATGATATTTAATATAGCGATGTCCTTAATATTTTTGAAAACGAAGGATATGAAACTGACTGTTGAAATGCTCCCATGAGAAACCACACAAAGTGAGGAAGCTACAAGTTGATGGTGAAATAAGAAGTCACTATAGAGGAGATGCTCACCCAGGAATTCCAGGTGGCTGTAATTCTCCAGCATCACATCCCTGTACAGATTCCACTGAGCAGGCTCCAGACATTCCCTCTCTTCTGGAGAGAACTCGATGGCTACATCTGAGAAGGACAGCATTTCCTGAAATAAAGATCAGCAAATGATACCACACATTAATTTAATTAAAACCATTAGTAATTTAAATACCAACATGCATGTTGACTATAGGCAGAACTATTCAAAGGAGGCAAAGAAAATTCTTTCTCACAGAGTAAATGCTAAAAGGTATGCAATCATCACTTTAACAAGAACATGTTTGATATAAAGTTTAAATTACATGTGGGCTGAGTCAGCAGAAGGTAAGCACGCATAGTTCGTACAACATGTGGGCTGGGTGCTCACTGTAAGAAATGGGAAAGAAACCATGGAAAGTATTTCTCATATCATTAAAGTTGAAATGCTCCCTGTCACAGACTTGGGTAAAATAGGCTGGCCTGGAATTTGCTGTGAAGCAGGGGAGGACCAGAGGGCCCTGCCTCCCCCTCACAAACGCAGGGATGACAGGGGTGTGCCTCAGAGGAGACTGACGTTTCTTTTCTATCACTGGTCTGGTTACTAAAATCCCAGGAATACACACAGGTCTGGGAGTTCTCCTCACCTGCTGACCTGACACAAAAGCCTGGCACTGTAACACAAGGCCATGAGAGCTTTTCACCTGTTCCTAGGGCTCCTGCTTCTGGACCAG